GGTAGTTGATAGGTTTGGAACATAGGTTGCATAATTCTTCTGCGATAGAGATAGAACACAGTTACCAAAACCTTAGTTGCACATCTAGATAGATTACTTTGTTACATATGTTTTTTCTCGATCGTGCCTTGGCATGTTTTTCATTAAGCAGAAGTAGAGTTTGTTACATCCTAAGCTGGCCACAATAATCGCAAGAATACTAAGACCAGCGATCGAAAAGCACACGCGGTTGTGATTTACACAAAAGTATTTTGCGACATAAAGACAATGAGCAACCTTCCTAGGCAATCAGTGCAACAACAGTAGCCGCCGCCTCCGCCCAAAACCCACCATGTACCAGTCGTCGGCCCCTTCCTCGATCGAGTTGGCCAACTGCGACAGCGAAGTAGCTGCATACAAGAGTCGCCCGCTCTTGTGCGATGAACTTTGTTACATATGTTTTGATAAGTGGAAATAGTTTAGAGTAGACTTTTAGAACCGTCTTAGGTGCATGATCCCTTCAGGTATATTGGTACCCGGGTACCCTCATTGCATGGAAAATGGTCCAAATGGGACGTGGCGGCCTCATCCTCGTAAACCACTGAGCATATTCTCCACTAGACGTATCTTGTTGTCTTGTTTTTAAAGAACTATGCCATTTTTAATGTTATGTAGAATTGATGATGCTGGTCAAAATGATGTGAAATTGTGAAGACATATATGATCTTTTAGTTGATGTTGTTCATTTAGTATTTTTTATCCATAATATTCTACATATTGCTTCAGCACTTCATTGTTCTTTGTTATATCTATTATACATGTTAGCGTACGCCTACTGAGATTTCTAGACATCTATATTATTTAGTCCTCATGCATTTCTAAATCCACCACAAAACAGAACCATCTTGCCCCACTTCATCCAAAACCAAATTAACATAACCTACGATGTCACCTGGCTCTACCTAGTCCACCCTATTGTTGTATTGTACAACTGAACACGATGCTCAACCGTGCATCACCCGACCTGGATTCAGATTAAAGATGTCCAACGGGCCGGGCCGGCACGGCACGGCCCGATGGGGTTCGGGCCGGCACGGCACGTCGTGCCTACCGGGCCGTGCCGAGGCGGGCACCGTGCCTGACCTACGGCCCAGGTATGGCCTGCTGGGCCGTTTATCGGGCCGGGTCGGCCCGAGAAGCATGGCTAGTCCAGCGTGCCGGGCCAGCCCGGGCCCATGATGAAGCGCGAGCAACCAGAGAGAGGGGGAAGGGGAGGAAGCGCGAGCAGCCAGAGATGCAGTGGCCGCCAACGACCTTGCCCTTCGGGCCCTTGACACCGGCGAGGAGATGGAGGAGGCGTCGGCGTCCATGGCGCAGAGGTGGGAGGGGAAGGGAGTTAGGAGCGCAGTGCTCCGGATCTCCGCCCGAACACGCCCGCCGGGTCTCTGTAGCCCGTGGAACCCTCCGACATCGCGGCCGCCGGAGTGGAGGCGGGGAGGGGGCGTCCGCGTGGGGGCGTGGCATCGGCGCCTGTGCGCGAGGGCCGAGGGGAGCGAGGGGCGTCCCGCGCGGCACCGACAGCGCGTCCGGGCCTAGATCCAGGACCGTGCGCGAGGAATGCGGAGGCGGAGGGGAGAAGCGATGGCCACCTGTGGGGGCTCGCTGGCGCCCGTGCGCCGCCATCCCTCCCGCGCCGTTCGCCGGCCGGTGCGCTGCGCCATCGCGAGAGAGAGGGGAAGGTGAAAGCAGAGACGGAGGAGGGGACCAGCACGCCGCCACGTCGGGAGAGAGGGAGAGGAAGGGATGACGGGGGCGGAGGCGGCGGGAGCGGGAATAGTGGGGGCGGGGGTCGCGGGAGGCTCAGCCGACGCGCCTCGTGAGAGAGCGAGAGAGCGAGAGAGGGAGCGGATGGGAGCTAGGGTTCGGGTGTGAGGGAGAGCCGCCGCTCCACGGCGTCCGCTCTTATATGAGGGGGGAGGCGGGGACGGTGGGCGTCTTTGGGCCAGCGTTGCAATGTGTGGGAGGGAGGAGGAGGAGGAGGGGGGGGGAGGGGGCTGCCGAGCCGCCTGACGCAGCCCGAGCCGGCGCGCTGTGCGCCCACCTCGGCCTGAAAGCAATGCCTAGGCACGGCCTGCTCCCTCGGGCCGAGCTAGCCCGGGCCCGCACGTCATCGGGCCATGCTGTGCTCGTGTCGGGCTAAAAAGGCGGGCTTCGCGCCGTGCCATCGTGCATCGGGCTACATGGACATTTATAATTTAGATCAACAAAAAGACAATGACAAAAGCAAAGAAAATGGTCAAAAAGGCCAAAACATGCACGGATGCCCTCCAAAGGGAAAGGGATGCAATGCACACAAAGAAAAAAGATACCTAATGCATGGTTAGCAGGTGATGGGTGCATTCTACCAAACGAACCTAACCTTACCCTCCCTTACCTAATGGCATTATACTACCTTGGGTATTCACGTCACAGCTAAAGCTACCATGTGCCTGTTTAGTTTTCAAAATTTTACAAAATTTTTCAAGATTCTCCGTCACATCGAATCTTTGGACGCATGCATAAAGCATTAAATATAAAAATAAAATAAAATTAATTACACAGTTTAGACGAAATTCACGAAACGAATCTTTTAAGCCTAATTAGACTATGATTAGACACTAATTACCAAATAACAACAAAAGTGTTACAGTACCATTTCCTAAAAAAATTCGCCAACTAAACAAGGCCCAGATTCCTGAAGCACAATGTGAAATCATGGATGATGGCCGTGCTGGCTTTGATTAGGGTCTTAGTTAGGTTTCTCCTCCTAAAATTTACTTCCTATCAAATCGGATGTTTGGACACATATATGAAGTATTAAATATAGACTAAAAAATAACTAATTGCACAGATTACGACTAATTTGCGAGATAAATTTTTTAAGCCTAATTAGTTCATGATTTGACAATGTGGTGCTACAGTAAACATGTGTTAATGACATATTAATTAGCCTTAATAAATTCGTCTCGCGGATTACTGAAGACTTCTGTAATTTGTTTTATTATTACTATCTGAACACTCCTATATGACCCCTTGATATGACACCTAACATGACATATCTATACTTTACTTCCTAGATTTAAACATCACCTAATTTTGTATTATGAGGTGAGGATCACAGGGTTGGAAGGGCATCGATTTCGGCTGCTGCATTGCTGTCAGCAGCGCGGTCACTTCCTCCCCACCTCCACCGCACGCAGTGACGCAGAGGAAGAAGCAGACGACGGTGCAGCAGAGGAAGGCTCCAAAAACGCAGCTTGCATGGCCCAGCGCAATTTATCTTTGTTTTTTTTTCTTTTGCTAGCTAGCTAGTCTCTCCATGATGCCACTTGATGCCAATGTGGCACCTGCGACTGACGTCGACAAGACTACGTTACTACAGTAGTACGTACTACTACTAATATAGTACTATCATGTAGTAATGATCTAGATTAGTTAGAGCTGTGGCCTGTAGCTGCGCTAAGGTCTCAGGAACTTGCCAACCTCTTGTAAAGGCAGTAGAAGGAACCTCTGCCACTATATACCTGCTGGACCTGCCATGCCTGTCTGCTCTTTCTGCAGTTAAATACTCCCTACTCCGTAGGTGAATTTACGCTGGAAATTTCCTAAACATAAAACATCCATCCGGACCACAGCATGAATGCTGCAGCCAAACCCAAAGGAGAGTCAGCAGTGGTAGGTGCTTACAATAACAGTGGCCACACCACACACCCTGTAGCTGTAGCAAGACGGTGCAGTACTACGGCATGCCATGAAGAATATACTCCTACTCCCGTAGGCCGTAGTAGAGGGCGATCCCCACAAGCTTCGACAAGATGGTTGGCGATGCCAATTGCCACAGTACTAACTAGTACAATGTTGGTTCATTCGGGTTGCATGTCGCCATCGGCATCAGATATCCAGCCGGGCCCCGTTCGTCTCACCGGAAGCCGGCTTGTTATGTTTCTTTTTTCAGTCGAAAAAATATTTTTTTCTCATAACAATTTAATCAAAATAGTATTTTGCAGCTAGTGGCCGCAGCCAGCGACGTCTCCGGCAAGCGGCAGCAGCTCCGCCGATCGATCGGAAGGTTGGGAGGTTCCTGTCCGGAAGGAAAGGCACAGGGCGCACGGGACGACGACGGGCGGCACACAACACCCCAATCCAGCGCCCATGATTTGACGTCGGCGGCCAGGACTCCAACCATCCAGCACACAGGAATTCACATGTCATCTGCGCTTGGAACCGAACAGCTCGTGTGGGTTGGAACCGACGAGCTACCCAGCGGTGGCGTGGCGTGCGTCAGGACACGCACAAGGGGATAATGCATCCGACAAGATATAAAAAGCCTGGAGTGGATTAAACAAACCTGTGTGTTGGCAGAAATGATATGATACTTCCTCTGATGTCAGTGTGGTAAGAAGCGATGGCCAACCTCCCGTGCATGCCTGCCTAATGATTCCAATCCAGTCACACCTGCTGCAACCTTTTTGTGCGCCTGATCTGATCGATGCCATCCTCTTAAGCAACCACAACAGAGTAGGAGGCTACAACCACACAAAGACAGTCATAAGCCAACTCATTTCATTGCAAGTGCTCAACACTATGATATCAAGTGCATGCATGCCAGATAACATTCTCTGCTCAAAGACCTCTAGTTAAATAAGTAATAACATCGTATCCAGGTTAGGTCACTGGCGCCTTACATCACATTACCTTACAATCAATCAAGGAGCTGCACAGTTTCAGAAACGAATAGCCATTCTGATTAGGAGGTACTCCATTTACACACATGGGATCTGCCATAACCGTGTAGGTAGCAGCCAACACCATATAGGTCCCAAGTTAAACAGGAAAAAAAAAAATCACGACACCCACAAACTTTTCCAATCACCACAAATACAGGCATTGGCAGTAAACGCATAGGAAGCACAACACCTCGTCAAACAGACCAAAAAAAAAAAGAACATCAAAACAACACTAATAGTACAGCCACTGTTCGTCTACTTGCTGTTTTTCTTTTTCAGTAAGCTCCCAAACTTCTTCAGCAGAGGCTTATTCTTTTTCGGATGCTGTGGTTTCGTAGTAGACATTGCCACTTTAGTCGTCGCCGTATCCTCTGGTACGGTCATCCCGTTTGCACTCTCGGTGCTGCTGTCCTTCTTCGAGTCTAACTCATCATTGGACGATTCAGTTTCTTGTCTTTTGTTTTCGGTCTGTGCTTCCTTCTCGAAGCTAACTTTGTCGCCCTCTTGTAAGCTGAGCTCAGTTTTCAGCTCCTCTTGTTCCACCTTGCTGTCATCTTTCTCTTCATGCTTCGATTCTCCGTTGGAGTTCATATCGGCTGCGTCAACTTCAAGCCTTGGTTTTTTATCATCAGTTTCTTCTGTATCTTCATTTTCTGCAACAGAACGGATAACTTCTTCACGCACAGAATTGTGGGCCTCATCAACAACCACCAGCTTCTCTTCCTCCTCAGGATGCTTCTTTGTCATGGCTTCAGCAAGCAGAGCAGACAGCTCCTCTATTTTCCTCACTGCGTCAGCTTCTCGCATCCTGAATTCATCATTCTCCTGGGTTATGCTCTGCAATGCATTCTCTTTGTCAAGTAATCGCTCCTTCAGTTGCGAACTCTCAGCCTTTGCCTCCTGCACAACCTTGTTGGCTTCAGCAACCGCCGACTCCGTGTATGTCAGTTTCTCTCGAAGCCTCTCGATCTCAATCTTAGACTCCTGTGCAGCAATGTTGGCCTCAGCAACCTCTGATTCGGTGTGTGCAAGTTTCTCTTGAAGCCTCTCCTTCTCGGCCTTTGCCTCCTGCACTGCATCCTTGGCATCAGCAACTGCTGATTCTGTGCACGCCAGTTTCTCCTGAAGCCTCTCTTTCTCTTCATTGACTGCTTCAAGCTCCTGCTCTGCACCTCGCAGTGATGCACATATATGCTCGGCTTCTTCTTTAAGAGCAGCAATTTCTTGTTCAGACTGTTTGCTAGCCGTGATAAGGTCAAGCTCCTTAGATTCACATTCTTCTCTGTACTTGCTCACCTCAGCCTCCAGCTTCTCCACAGTTTCCCTTAGGCAAGTTATGTCATGTTTTGCCTCATCAAGCATTACCTCATAACTCTCTTCCATACTCTTCAGGGCCATCTTCAGATCACCTATCTGTGCAAGAGCATGTTCATAATCATCTTCTTTCTTCTGAAACCTATCATGTGCTTCCTGTGCCTCGCAAGATGCCTTATCCAATGCAGCAGTAAGATCCTCAACTGCCCTTTTCTCTCTCTCCTCTTTGTCTCTAGCATCATCCAGCTCACTAATGAGCTTGGTTTTCTCCTCAGTCAGGCCTTCAATCTTTGTGATAGCAGTCCTCTCATTGTCCAATGCCTCTGAGGCAGCTAGTTCTGCAGCATCAAGCTTGTTCCTCAGAACATCTATTGTAGTCTGCAGCCCAAACACCTCTTGCTGCGATGCATCCAGATGCTCATTTGAATCATTTACATCCGCTAAAAGCCTAGCCACCTCAATTTCCAAGGCAGTTGTCTTTCCTTTAAGAACTTCAATTTCCGATTCTCTATCTTGCAGTATCAACTGGGTCTTGTCCAGCTCTTCAGTCGTGGAGGCAAGTGAGTCACTTTTGAACTTCTCGGATAGAGTAACTTCCTCCAATTTCATCTCAAGTGATACTGACTTCTCCTTCCATTCTTCTAACTGCTGATGGATGTCTGCCTCGACCTTCTGCACATCAGCTATCTCTGATTTAAGCTCCTCAATCATTTTTTCTGCTTCGGCCAACCTCTCTTCAAGGACTTTTGCCTCCTCAAGTTTGCCTTTGAGAGATGAAATCTCAGACTCCAGATTCTTAACAAGAAGCTCAGCTTCACGGCTTTTACTCTCTTCGCTGGCAGCACTCGAATCAAGCAACCCTTTCAAGCGAACAACTTCATTTGAGAGGATCTCCACCTTCTCCGCATTGACCTCAGCGATCTTCATTGCATCATCTGCGTGGCCAAGAGCAGCCTTCTTGGCCTCGTTCACCATGGAAAGATCACGCCTGAGCCTCTCCAGCTCCTCCGTCGTGTTGACCAACGTCTCCAAGTCGGCGGCGTGCTGGCCACGCACGCACTCAATCTCCCTCTGCCACTCCTCCTCCCGCCTCTGCGCCTCGTCGATGCCTGCCTGCTCGAGCTCATCCGCCCGGAACTTCTCGATCTCGGTGGCCTCCTCGGCCCACCGCTTGGCCATGAGGGCATCCTGGAGCTTCTCGTGAGTCTCATCAGCGACTCTCTTGGCCTCGTTGAGCTCCCCGACGAGACGGTCCCTCTCTCCGAGGATGAATGCCAGTTGGTCCTTGGCCTTCTTCAGGTCCTCCTGGGCGGACTCGAGCCGCGCCTGCAGTTCGGCTTCCCTCTGGAGCTGCTTCTGCAATCCCAGCGACAAAATCACAAGTGATCAGACATAGGCGTGCATCAAGAACCGAACCGACAGGATGTTAGTAATGCAGTGCAGCACCTGTTTCTTCATCAGTGAGAGAAGAAGAAAACCAGCGCAGTTGGGTGCAGTCAGTAGACTTACTTCTAGAGTGGTGCCGATCTTGGGCACCCGGCGCTCGACGACGGGCTTGGTGTCCCCGGATCTCGGTGAGCGGTCGAACGAGAGGCGGGGCTTCTGCGCGGCGGCCGACGGCGGCGAGTTGGGCTCGGACTTGAAGGGGCCCCCTGCGCCGTTGGTGCGGGAGCCGCGCGGCGTGGACGGCGTGCCGACGCTGCTCCTCCTGGTGCCGCCCGGGGTGGAGGGGCGGTGGTTGGAGGACGGCGTGGACGGGCGGTGGTGGTTGGAAGACGGCGTGCTCGGCCTGCCCCTGCTGATGGGGGACTCGTTCGGCCCAGATCTGTCAATGGCGACATCCATCGTTAATTAAAAACAAAAATCTATTTTTTTTTTACTCTGTTGCCGAATCGAGCGCGAACTAATGGAGTGACGCGAAGCCACAGGGTTGAAAGCCGGCAGGCTCAGATTTTTTCCTTGTTGGAATCGATCAAAATGAAATCGAAGCAGTATAAACATGCAGCGGCGAGATGAAGTGACCGTTACGATCGGAATTTGAGGATTTTACAGAGACGAAACGGCATCTGAAGAAAGCCACATTCGCGCGTGGCAGAAATCACACGAGAGTGACAAGGAGAAGCAACTAGCGGCGCAGGGAAATCCGAGAAGAAGAGAGCCAAGAAAAATTGACCAAATGAAGCGGCGGCTCTAACTGGATTACTGGATACTAGATCTGCCATTGAAGAAATGAAGAAGAGAAAACCGACAGGCGGAACAAGAGCGCGAGCAAATAAAAGAGAGAGAGAGAGAGAGAGAGAGAGAGAGAGAGAAACGCAAGAGTCCGGGAGCGGAAGTAAGTCACCTCGATCTGGAGGACGGCAGCATTGTGGACATGTGGTGGTGTGAGGCCGGGGCAAGGGGGAGTGCCCGGCCGAGTGGAGAAGACGATAGTGGGGGTGGGCCGGTGGGAGGCGGAGAGGGAGGGCGCAAAAGTCTGCAAAGGCAAAAGGGAAAGGCTTTGGCCGAAAGGGGGGCCAGGCCAGACCAGACGAGCAGCGGAGGCAGGCAGATCAGATGCGGAGGAAACGTCCGACCGTCGTCGCCGACGGCTACGAAACTCCTCCTCCGGTCCACAATTCCAACCCCGTTCCCGCGCGCCTGCACGTCGTCAACAACTACTCCGGCAGGAGAGGAGTGAGAGAGGGTGAGAGGTCGTTGCGGGCTGGGGTACACTGTGGCTCTCTAGTGCATTGGCATATCCTTTGCTTGTGCGTGTTAACAATTACTCCTGCTAATCAGTAAATCAGGAGGAGGAACCAGTACTAGTTGCTGCTTCTGCCACTAGAACTAGAATTAAGTGTCCTCTGGGGGCTGGGAGGTGAGATTGGTGGTACGCCACCAGCACCTTCTGACTGCAGTGCCGCGTTGCAAAATTATGGACGCCACCGTGGCTTGCACATGCTGCCTATCTATCTCGCCTAGCGTATCGGCAGTTCTGTCTCTGCACTGTTTTCTGGATACTGCACCCAATCATGGACGCCACCGTGGCTTGCACATGCTGCTATAATTCTGGCTCCGACAAAAATTAAGCTGAAGTTATTGCTAATGCTAGCACGATACAAGCCTGGCTTCAGTGTACTCCGTATATAAAATACATACAAAGATACTGTACTAGCTGTTGTAACCGTATTATCGATAATTCTTATATCTTTATCAAACTACCTAACAAATTTGTACAAAAAAAAGTCCATAACACCAAATATTGAAATACATAAACTATTATTAAAATATATTAAATGATGAAATCGATAATATTTATGTAGTACCATAAATAGTATCATTTTATCTATGTATACTTGGTCAGATTGAAACTGATTTGACTCAGTGAGATGCTATGCTAACGGAGGGAGCATCACAGTCACAGTGCCAGCAATGCAGAGGTACGGATACCAATTTAGGCCTTGTTTACTTCGCGGTTAGAAATCAGTATTTGACACTATAATATTTTCGTTTGCATTTGACAATTATTGTCCAATCATGGCCTAACTAGGCTCAAAAGATTCGTCTCGTAATTTACAATCAAACTGTGTAATTAGTTATTTTTTTATCTATATTTAATACTCCATGTATGTGTCCAAAAATTTGATATAATGGAAAGAGTGTGAAAAAAAACTAAACAAGGCCTTAACATCGGCAGCGACGCGCCAGCGCCACTCATCACCATGCATGGTTTTCAAAGGTAAGATATACGTACTATATACGGTACTGCCTCGTACGTATATTGTATATACTCGAGGAAAAGTTGCAGCTTACCGGATGAAGCACCAGCCTGGTGGTATCTGCTAATCTGCAAGAGGGACGTGCTGTACTACTATTTGCAGCGTACAGTGTACGTACTACAACCGCAGCTTTGCTTTGCTGCCGCCCATGGATCGGACCGCCCATCCTTCAGCAAAGTATATTTCCAGGCTCCAATAATCCAGGTTCCAGGATTAGCTAGCGAGCACATTAACAAAGCCGCGAGAAAGACGACGACCCCGGCCCAGGGCATTCCAGTGCCCGCGCGGCGTTTCTGCATGGGGCGCGAGCGCGACATGGGGATGGGATGGAGCTTTACGTTGCGTGCATTGGACGGCTGCGTGCGTGGGCCCTCCGCCTCGCTTCTCTTTCCCAAAAGGCAGCCGAAAACGCTACTCCAACCGACAAATCTCCAGGGAACGGACGCTACCCAACTCATTTCTCAGACTCCTTTAGCAATTCCGGTGCAATCGTTTACGACCCTGACGTGTGGTGCCCGCTTGAACCTGGGCCCACTGCCGTAGTCAGGTCAACTCCGGTTGTAGTACTGTACTGCTACCACGCTACATATATTTCCGTGATGATGATGATGATATTGATGCAACGAGCCAGCCGACACATCCAACGGAACGGGACGCCGGATCGGGCGTTAAGGATTTCGAAGTTTTTTTTTTCTATTTTTATGAAATCTTTTCTAGTCAACTAGCAAATACCTATGTCTATGCATCACAATGGAACAGACTGGCCTAATTTTATATCAAATAAATTTTCAAGAACTATAATAATTGCTAGTAAAATAAGGTATGAACCTCGTATAGAAAATCTACCGGACATTGACTCAAATTATGTACACAATGTCGTGAGTTTAGGAAAGGTCAAAAGCTAGCCAAACGCTCGCATGCAGGGGACACACAAGCTTGGGCGATCATGCCACCGTATGGGTGGTTTAACTCCAAACTTAAAGCGAGAAGGACGAGTGAGGGATATGTTTCATGGCCCTCGAGAAATCAATGAAACTCCATAATTTGATCGTTAGAATTTCTTTTCTCTTTTTAAATTTGAGCTTTGCAAACTCAATTGTCCAAAAAATGCAGAATTATACTCCCATTGCCAATTTGATATATCTATTTTTTGCGAATTGAAGGGAGAACTGAATCAAAACTCGGCACAGTAGATCCCCAAATTATTACACATTAAAAAAACTAAAATAAAGATATACAATATTCTATCTAGATTCTTATATTATCGTCTTCCTAGTGGCTTTCCTTTACAGCCATGTTGAACACCAAAGCCAAATCGTAGTCCTTATGCCGAATCCAGCAATCAACCCCGAAACATTAAACATTAGACATGCCGCAGACCATAAGATCCAATATTTCGAAACCAATCCAAAACACATCTAAAACAATGAAAGAACATCAGTAGTTGCATTGTCAGATACAACGTAGGCTCCAGATTCGTCATCTCCAACCCTTAATTTGTCATGTATGTCCGATTTTCTCCCCACAATCATCGACGATGAACCAGAGTTATTGTCCTCGCGGGGAGTGCCCAGGAGCATCCCCTTGCAGATAATGGGCATAAATTGGACTCTTGCCGACAAAATCGACACCTATAACGACAAACTCATTGTGGCACCGAAGTCATCGTAGCTAACAATATCCCGGTAGAAAATCGTATGATTGTACCAATGAATTTATTTGTGTTAAACTTTAAGTAAACTAGGTCTAAAAAAACTGGGAGAGGAAGGAGAGGGACCTTGGACAACAGAGGACATCGGCGGCAGTGTCCTACGGGACTTGCTTGTTTCACTAGAGAGCAATATGCCATTGGCCAATTTGACATATCTATATATAATTTTTGCCCGGGTCAGTCTACCTAGAATTTCTTTTTCACATTTTGAAAAATCATAACTTTTTAATATTTTATATGGAAATGAATTTTCTTTGAAACATTTTCAGCTCCACGAGACCTACTGGTACAACTTTTGGTTTAAGATCGTCTTGATATTGGCCCGTTCGCTGGTCTGAAACTTAGCTGAAACTGACTGGTTTTGTAAGAGAGAAATACTGTAGCGTCTGGTTGATGAATAGTGTTTGCTGAGAGAGATCAGCCGACTGGTCTGGATGGACCAGACCAGCGAACACGCCCATTGAAATGATCGATACGATGCTCGGATCTTATAAATACATAAATCGGCTTGGCCAAATTTAAATAATTGAGAACTGCTGGTTTTATTTCACAATTGGCTTGGCGAAATTTAGATGTCACCACAACAATTGCGGATTGAAGTACAAGTCTCTGTAAATATTTTATTGGGATTCCCTAATTATTTTTACAGAGACGATTTGAAGAAAATAAAAAGAAAAAATCGATCCATCAAGTTTTGAGCCCATTCCGGCTCAGTCCATCCGGATGCGCCTGTAGTAACAAAAACTGGCTGGGCTGGCATCATCAACCCAGGCTCACTTGAAATGGACCGGCCTGATGAAGTAGGGCAAGGCCAGAATTTATCCCTTTTAGATTAGATGGGCCTTTAGGTCGAAATCAGCGTCTCCTTGACTTCTTTCTTCTTATTAGTTTCAATGTTTTCTCAATCATGTATATGTATTTCGCCTCAAATCTATGTATTACAATAATACAACATTGTTTAAAGATCCATCATGTTCGTCCAGAGGATCTAGAAATTACGAGAGTAATAAAAAAATTCACCGTTAGATTTTATGAAGATCTAACGGTTAACTGAGCTTCAGAAATATCCACCGTTGGATTTATGAAGACCTATCGATCTAGATTAAATCAAGCTCCAACTCATATTTTTCTGTCCGATTTCCTTCACTGCCTGTCGTGAATCGTGATCTGTCGCTGGTATTTTATCATGGCCTTTTCACGCAATTTTTCTTTGTTCGTGTGACTGGTGACTTGCTCTTCGCGATCTTCGTGAGACGAGCCCAGCACCGCTTACAATAGGATCTCACTCCAACATCCAAGAGTAACAAACCCTCAAGCTTGCTAACCAGCCCCTATGCCACTAGATGCTATCTCTCTGAGGCACAAGCACTCACACCCCAACTCACTACAAAAGGGAGCTGAAATCACACTACTACAGCATTTTTTACCGAGGCGAGCAAAAACGATTAACCCAGACGGTTTTTGCAACCGCCTCCGCGGAAAGGTCACAGTAAATGTGACATTTTCCGAGGCGGTTCCATGCCCGCTACGGTAAATCGGATAAAAAAACAAAAAAAATGAAAAAACCCAGATCTAGCCCTAACCGGCCCTAGATCTGGGCCTGGCTCTGCAGCCCCTGCACGCCGCCGCCGCTGGGGGAGCCATGACCGCCGCGCTCCACGTCCGCGGGGAGCAGAAGGAGCGCCACCGAAGTTGATGTAGAGGTGGAGGGGGAGGAGCGCCGCCGTGGGGAGGCCGGATTCGGCGACGCCGCCGCCAGAGTTGAGGAGGGGGAGGAGCGCCACCGTGGGGAGGCCGGAGTGGAGGAGGGGCGCCGCTGCCGCCTCGCCCGCTCCTGAATCCGGCGGCGAGGGCGAGGAGGATCCCGGATCCGGTCTCCTCGCCACCGGATCTGGCCTCCCCGC